GTCTGTTAATATTATTTGTCTATAGTCTCACTGAATGTCAAACGTAACCATAATAAATTCATTTATTACAATATATGTTATTGTCGAATTTCGACCACTGGCCGACCACGACCACACAGTTGCATGTAATTTGTAAAAACTTGATTGTTTCTTGCACGATAATGTGTTTGTTTTGTGTTTGAATTTTTTTTTGTTGTTTTGTGTATGTATATTTATCTATAGAGAAATGCAATTTGTAACCATATTTGAATTAAAAAGAACGACCATATCAACTTATTAAGATAGGGGGGAAAGGGATTGTTAGTAATGGAGTTTGACAGTCCCATTGCTAGCAATATGCCTTATTAGGTCGACCTCCACGTGGTTCCCCGTGGAAACCATCGTGAACAATTCTTGTTGAATTCGTCACGATGGGCTAACTGACCTACTTCATCCTCACCTATCATCCTTCACTGGTGCCCCGCCGGTGTATACCGATAGCGCGAGTGGGGTTACCATTCCATTATCATCCATTAAAAAAAAAACTTATTAAGATGGCGATCGTTGCCTGTAAACATGAGTATGCATGAATATTCCATGAATATGCTGTGTTTCGGTTTGAAGGGTGTGCTTTTTATAGGTGATAATGAAATAGTAATCCCGCCCGCGCTATCGGTATACACCGGCGGGGCACCAGTGAAGGATGATAGGTGAAAATGAACCAGGTCAGTTAAGCCATCGTGACGAATTCAACGAGCATTGTTCCACTTTCCATCAGGTGGGCTGTCATGAATTAAGCGCTATAGTTTCCAGTAGGAACCGTGTGGAAGTTGACCTCATCATCATCATATCAGCTGTTAATTGTCTACTGCTGAACACAGACTTCTCCCATAAGGGAGGTTTCGCCAGTAATTGCCACGTTTGGCAACTGCAGTTAGGTTTTGGTGATGTATTAAGTGGAACGCCGCTGCTCATCCCTCCACCATTAAATACCCTTAGTTGCCTCTTACGACACCTATAGGAAAGGAAGGGGGTGGTCCATTCTATGCCGGGACCACACAGAAGTCGACCTATATAGTATAGAGAGTATATTGCTAGCTATAAGGCTATTAGACCCCATTACTAATCCAATTCGCCCCGACCTTTCTTATCAGGAAGATAAGCAAAATATTTTAAGAGCATCAATGTTTGGTACAGGCAAAGGGCACCACTTAGTGGAAAGTGCCAGCAGGTGGGTCAAATGGCAGCGGTCAGCTTGTTCCAAATCGAAATATGTTATTTGCATTTTAATAATACAAAATAATCGATTTATTCGATTAATCGCGTGTCCATTTAATCGGAATAATCCATACGATTGTGTAGGCGATTATTTTTTCTTTTTATGCTACTTAGATTGGCAAACAAGCTGACGGCCCACCTGATGGAAAGTGGTAACCGTCGCCTATAGACATGACTGTGGACATAATAACATCCGCCAGCGTATCCCATTAGCGCAGGCCATTTTCCATCCCATTTTCACCCATCAAAAAAAAAACCTAACCATAATCGCCAAAGCGCCTGCCAAGTGTGGGATCTTCTGGCAAAGCTAAAGGCAAAGCACCTTAACCAACTGCAAAGAGGGGGGAAAGGGATTGTTAGTAACGGGGTCAAATAGCTATAAATACCATTACTAGCAATATACCTTAACAGGTCGACCTCCACGTTGTTCTCCCTGGAAACCATCGTCATTTATTCTAGTAGAATTCGTCAGAATTGGCTAACTGACCTGCATTCATCCTCATCTGTCACCTGTCACTGGTGCCCCGCCAGTGTGAACCGATATCGCAGGCGGGGTTATCATACCAATCTTCTTCTACCGACCCGTATCTCAATTATTATATGGGGTCGGCGTAATATGGTTTTATCCATATTACAAAAAGATTTGGCTTATAGTTTTACGACCGGTCACCTGCCTGACGTCAACCCTCTTTGGGAGGGGGGAAAGGGATTGTTAGTAATGGAGACTGAAAATCCCATTGCTAGGAATATATCCAACCAGGTCGACCTCCTCTCGGTTCTCCCTGGAAACTATCATGGTTAATTCCTGATGAATTCATCATGATAGGCTAACTGGCCTGTTTTCATTCTCACCTATCACCCTTCACTGGTGCTCCGCTAGCGTATCCCGTCAGCGCAGACGGGGTTACCATACCATTTTCACCCATCAAGAAAAAAACCCTCTTTGGGAATGCATTTGTTGGTGGTTTACGCCAACATTACCACTATCACTCATAAAAGAAACCAACTGCAAAGAAGGAGGTTTTGTGTTTGTATAATGTGTTTTAACTTCACAGGCTTTTACAGGTGTCCGAGAACGAGCACGGTCAGGCGCACGGTGCAATATTTTGACCAATTTTAAATGTATCACAACTGCGCTTGTGTATAAGCGCTTGAGTGAATTGGTTAAGATATTGCATCGTACGCTTGCATCGGCAATGCATCGTGGGAACGCTTACGTTAATATGCCAGCTCTATTTAATCGGTAGCTGTTTGTAAAGGAGCTCTTGCATTTAGACACGTCGATGTTGGAAGACGATTTCATGAATACGGGAGTTTAATAATTAAAAGTTGGATTCTATAAAAAAAGACCTCAATTGTGACAAATCAATTATTTTAAGTCAAAAATTTAAACTATTGAACTGTCTTTGATTAAATTTTTATCACCGATATGGCGTGAATTTACTGGGTACAGAGGAATAACACCCGAGTCCTCAGGAATGGCAACGCATGGGGGGTATCATGGACGAAACAGTGTACTCTGTTATTTTCATGGTACTGCTCATGTCTATAGGGGACGGTTACCACTTTCCATCAGGTGGGCCGTCAGCTTGTTTGCCATTCTAAGTTGTATAAAAAAACAGGGTCCCAATCTTGAAATACATTGATGCTCCTTTCCACTTTGGGTGTTGCTGGAACTTAACTCTTTTAGAGTTAAGCTTGCCTTTGTACATTTGAATACCTTTGTCATATTTTTATGTACAATTAGTGTGCACAATAAAGTATTAAGTAAATAAATAAATATAACCAGATTCAGATTAATATAAACCTACGTGGTTTCTAAATGCTAATGGAACATAAATTTTGTAACTTGTATTTTTATTGATAATAAAATAAAAAAAAAAAAGATAAAAAAAGAATTTTCCAAATCGGTTCACAACTGATGGAGTTATGAGGTGACAAATAAAAAAAAAATACAACCGAATTGAGTACCTTCTTCTTTTTGAAGTCGGTTAAAAAACCGTGCGGAACTGGGGCGGTTCGCTAGTAGTTTATATCTATAAAAACAAGCAGCGTAAAATTATTCAATCGTAACGAATTTTGGTTAATTTTTTTAAACAAACAATGCAAAATAGAAAAGTGCAGAAAGCACTTTTCTATTTTGCATTGTTTGTTTTTGTGTTTGTGTATTGTAATGTGATTTTATTGTTGTGTGTTTCTCCGCTTCGTTACTCGTCTCGGAATCATTGGACTTCTGAAAATCTCACCCCTTAATTATTTATCTAGCTCCACTCACCAATTCTACTGAACCCATTAAATAACAAAACTAATAACAAATAAAAAACTAAATAAAAAGACCAAAAAAATGATATCTTATTATTATTAAATATATTTTTTAATTAATTAATTAAATTTAATTAAATTTGTGGTGAGTGGGCCACTCAAAATATTTTTTAAGAAAAGGGGACGATTCAGGGTTTCAGTGTTTCTGAGACTTTCTTATCTGTATTGTGGTTTTTATTTTAATTTGTATATGTTCGATTTGCTTTTATTGTGCCTAATTGTGTTTGTTTGTGTACCTATCTATAGATATGATTGCTTTTTTTGTTATAACTAAAAATGTGTGTGTAAATAATAATAACAAAAATTAAAAGCAAGTGGCTTTTAATTTTTATTTACTTAAGTTTGTTATTTACTAGTAACTAAATCCACTACATTGGTTGGTTACCAAACATAGTAACCAACCAATGTAGTGGATTACTACACTGTTAGTGGGGCGAATTTGGAGTGAACCAATTTACTCGCAATCAAACGTATTATATAATTATGTTGATCTTGGAGCATAGTCATCAGCAAAAAAGTGTTTACGTAAAGTAAAATACTCTGTAAATCTTGCATTCAAGAGTCCTTTATCATCATACCAGTCGGTAACTGTCTACCTCTGAACATAGGCTTCCTTCATAAAGGGGGAGATTTTCCAGTATTTGTCATGCTTGGCAGTTGGGTTGACAACCGCATTTAACTTTGGTGATGTTTTAAAAAGGACGCTGTCATGCATCCCTCAACCAGTAAACTCTCTTAGTCGCCTCTTACGACACCTGCGGGAAAGGAAAGGGTGGCCCATTCTAGGTCAGGACGACACGGCAATCCTTAATATATACAGTTCTGATTAAAACAGTCGTAAAGGGTATCTGGAGCCGAAACCCAATGATAGTATTAATGAAACTGAACAGTTTGCCTAAAAAGAACAGTCACAATCGGAGAATATTTTTCAACCTCTCATTCTATATCGACAATTCACTGTGTGCTCCCATTATAGAGTGAACCACCCCTTCCTTTCTCATGAATATCGTAAGATGCGACTAAGGAAACTTTATGGTCGAAGGAAGGACAGCAGCATACCTCTTAAAACATCAAAGCCTAACTGCATTTGTCAACTCGAAATGTCAAGCGTGGCAGCTATTGGAAAAATCCCCCAATAGGAGGAGGTCCATGTTCAGCCTTTGGACAATTAACGACAAATATGGCAATGATGATATTAAATCGATCACGTAACAAGCCACGCAGGTTTGTACGGAAATTCCAAAAATTATTGGGGAGGATTGTTCAGTTTCATGAATACTGTGCTTAAATTTGGGCTTGGTAAAAGCTATACCTTCACAATGGACCATTAATAACCTATTTCTTGTACAACGACTGGACCGAAAATGATTATTTCAATTGAACTTTATAGTAGATGATGTAAAAGACTCTCCTGTGTTCAGGTCCACGGACTCGACGGCCGAAGAAGCCGCCGGGGGAGACCGGCGGCGCGACCGACGAGAAACGACCCAGAACCGCCTTCTCGGGCCCGCAACTCGCTAGACTAAAGGCAAGAACTTCGATTTACTTTCTCTTCTTCACATCAAGTTGTTTGCGAGTTAGACAGAGGGAATCAAATATCATTAGAACTCAGTACAGTAAAATCCAGATCAGTAATGATAGCTAAGCGTTGATTGCGCTTGACTACAGCGCGATCTTTTATTTAAAGAAGGTCTTTATTAAATCGCCTTTAAATAAAAGATTTTTCTTGAATCCAGAGGAAGTACTCGTGTGCATTTCGTTTTGTTGGATGATAATTGAATGGTAACCCCGCCTGCGCTATCGGTATTTGCTGGCGGGCATCTGTGAGGGTTTATAGGTAAGGATGAAAGCAGACCAGTTTTCCCATTGTTATGAAAACAAATAATATCCGGATGCACTTTTTGGCAGAGCCAATTTAGGCTCAGGACTGGATGTTCTGGAATGTACCTCAGATGTTCATCACCCGGTTCCCTATTCCTGAATATCCTGGCTTGAGGGGAAGCAAACGGTGTGATCGTGTTCCACTTTATATTATTAACTTCGGTATTTCTTCAACAGCACGAGTTCGCCGAAAACCGCTACCTGACCGAGCGGCGGCGGCAGTCGCTGGCCGCAGAGTTGGGGCTTGCGGAGGCTCAGATCAAGATCTGGTTCCAGAACAAGCGCGCCAAGATCAAGAAGGCGTCCGGCCAGCGGAACCCGCTCGCCTTGCAGCTAATGGCGCAGGGTCTGTACAATCACAGCACAGTGCCGTTGACGAGAGAAGAAGAAGAGTTAGAGATGAAGGCTAGAGAAAGAGAACAGCAGAATAGATGTTAATTGAGTAAAGACTGTTTAGTTTGGACAATTTTAGGAACCTCATGTGTGAGATGCTAGCTGAGATCTTGCAGATAGGAAGTGTGGTCTGAAAAAAGGAAGTTGTTAGGAGATAAACCTTGGTAAGGTACTTCATGATGATGTAGAAAGAATACATGTCACTACTTCTTTTCATCCCCAAGGATGTTGTAAAAGTCGAGTTCGCAAAGTACCATACATAAATACTAGGGAAGAAAACACTAAACCAAGCCGGCTTATCCAAGCGTGGCACGCTATATCCTACTTTTATAAGAAGAGAGCCAAGTCCAATAGTGGGACGTAATTGGGTTATAGATTATGGAATATCAGATGATGCTGAACGTTGCCACCGTTGTGGTTCCTCTACATAATATTTTTGTTAGGCCGTGCACGTACCAAAGTACATATTAATCCGCTAAAAATTTTAAAAATTCATAAACACACACACAAGCACACAACGATAAACGAGATATTTGGTGGATACTTCTATTTAAATTTAGAACACTGATTTTTTTGCAACGAGCAGTTTTTTGCTGTACCTACATAAATAAACAATGTCACAAAACTAATGTAAGAACGATATAGACGCAAATCCTATCGTTTGCAAGAATACTTATGAAAGTCTTTTCAGAATTAGTGACGCAATCGTCATTGGAAACAATTTTTTTTAAGTCATAGATAACTCATAATATTAGCTATATATTTTTTGAGATTTTGTTCATGAAAAAAATTTTCTTTCTTTCTTTTCTTCAATGGTAATCAAGTAATAAGTTTTTTTTAGTCTTTATTTTTTTTCCAGCGTCAAGTAATTTGTGTTTCGTTCTATAGAATATCGCCAAGTTTAACGTTTCCCGCCTTTTTCGATCACCATATTAGACATTTAACGCTCAGTATATTGAATCAACGAAAATCTTTTTAACCAACGTCCATCACAATAAATCATAATTTTATTAAGTAGAATAAAAACACAATACAAAATTTAATGACACGCCTTTTCTCCGCAATAAAATCTATTTCGAAAATTTTTCTATTCAGATTGTAACTTATACGTATCACGCGGCGTCAAAAATAAAAAAAAAAGCAATACTTGTTTACTTTGGTACGCGCGCGGTAATATCTGTATAGCGTTTTGTTTTTATTAACAACAATTGTTTATAATTATAACTGTTGGACACCAACTGGCTATGTGTTATATAGTTCTAATTACACGAGTTTTTTTTTAACAATATTTCAAAATGCGAAGCAATACCGTTTCGTATTAAATTTAACAATGTACTCGTATTTTTCTTTTTCTTTTTAAATATGTCACAAACATTTTAACTACAATGGATGTATATTGAACGAAGTTGACATTAATCGTTTCAATTATATACAATTTTTTATGCCAAAATTATATTTTCAAAGAATTAACAAATCATAAAACATAATATCGTATAGACGACAGATGCACTAACTAAACGCAACTACGTTTTTATTCACAAAAAAGAAACTTTAATAAAACTTTATTTATGTTCTGTATTGTACTTTGAACGTCATTAGATACGATATTTTATGTAATAATTATCATAATTCATGATTATTACGATGACAAACAGTCACAATGACAGCTAACATCTAATCTTAGATTATATAGATAGAGTGTCTCCATACAAATACTTCGAGAAAAACGGGTCAACTTTTTCATACAATTTCGCGTGATAAATAGTTATGAGTGTTTCCTTTATAACTTCTAGGTATATTTGTTTTGTTTAATATTTTTTGCATCTTTTTAATGTATAAATACTCATTTTATTTATTATATTATATAATTAAATATAGATACGTCAAGATACATTGTGTACGTAAGTATATAGAACACTGATAAAAAAACGAGCCAGCTAATTTGACAATTAGCTGACAAAAAGTTAGTCCGTTTTTTTAAGTCTCGATGCTCTAGCTATATAATCTAAGTATTTAAGAAACAAAATGTTATTACATAACGCAAAATATACACAATTTATGTTTTGAAATGAAACGAGGAATTATTTGGATTGTAAAAAATAATTTATAAAGTTAACAATCTTTGTAAATAACTAGTGGATTAAGAATAAAGTTTAAAGATATAAGTTATTTATTGTGCAATGTAGCAGTATTAGTAGATATAGCTCGACAACTGTCCGGGGAAATAGGGATTGTAGAAATACGCGGAAATAAGGAAATAAGGGCTAGAGAAATATGCTAGAGAAATAGGTATTTTTGAGCTGTATTTCTTGTTGCTAACAATGTAAACTTTTTTATTTTTCCATTCAGTTGTCGAACTATGTGTGTAAAAGTAGTGATTTATAGAAAAAAAAATATTAAACAAGTTTAAAAAAATTTACCTGTTTTATTTATACATATACATATATATAGCAATAGTTTTTGTATGCAACTTCGTACACGTGAATTTTTAAATTAAGTAACCATTAGATAACGTATTTTTTATGGATGATAATGGAATGACCCTCCACTAGATGGAGTGATGACCTCCAATGCATTGCAGAGAGCCAGTGGATGCTGAGGGGGGGGGGGGAAGGGATTGTTAGTAATACAGACTGCCAGTTGCATTACTAGCAATATTCTAGCATTTATCACGTCGGGCTAGCTGACCTGCCTTTTCATTCTCACTTATCATCCTTTACATTAGTAATCTAAATAGATTTTTTTTTAATATATGATAATGAAATAGTAACCCTGCCTGCGCTATCGGTGTACATTGACCAGTGAGGGATGGTAGGTGAGGATGAAAGCAGGTCAGTTGGCCCATTACGACAAATTCATAAAGAATAAATAAGGTTTCCAGGGGAACCGCGTGGAGGTCGACCTGTTAGGGTACATTTTTTTTGGTGGGTGAAAATGGTATAGTAACCCCACCTGCGCTAACGGTATACGCTTGTGGAGCACCAGTGAAGGGTGATAGATGAGAATGAAAACAGGCCAGTTAGCCCATCATGATGAATTCATCAGGAATTAACCATGATAGTTTCCAGGGGGAAACGCGAGGAGGTCGAACTGGTTGGGTTTATTTGCTAGCAATGAGATTCTCAGTCTCCATTACTAACAATCCTTTTCCCCCCTGTTAGGGTACATTGCTAGCAATGGAGTTGTTAAATCCCAATACTAACAATCCCTTTTCTCACAATTTTAATATATATATTAGTAAGATACATCTTCAGCTTAACCCTGTACATGCTATAAGACCAGCGGGTCTACCATGAAATGAAATTTCGAAATTTCGGACACAATTTCGTGTTTTTGTTTATACCAAAATCGGACCAATAAATGGAGTTTAACATTACGTTCGTCATACATCCTATCATAAAAGTCCAAAGGAACGATATTTTAACATTTTTAATATTTTTATGCAATTTTAACATCACATTCATGTTTCGTTTGGCTACAAAACCTAATAGGCCCCTATCATGAAGTGTTTTCCGTTTCTGTGTCTGTGTTACAGACCATTTCTGTCACTGTCAGCAGAGGGTCGAATTAAATTTTTAACCCGCGTAGCAATTCCTTGAAGGCCCCTTCGCACAGCTGACAGCAAGGGACGGGGATTCGATTTTATTAGAATACTTGTGGCGGCGTCGCGAATCGGGTATTCGAATTTGAGAAGTTTAATTTTGTTGTTGTTTTTTTTTTTTTAAACGGGGGGAGTTAATAGCAATAGGTTTATTGATGTTCTCGGCGACGGATTTTATTTTTTTTTGTAATAGACTTTTTGGAAGGTATATCTCATAATCTGTATTTAGTTTTTTTTTTTATAGGTGATAATGTAATAGTAACCCCACCCGCGCTATCGGTATACACCGGCGGGGCACCAGTGAAGGATGATAGGTGAGGATGAAGCAGGTCAGTTAAGTTATCGTGACGAATTCAACGAGAATTGTTCACGATGGTTTCCAGGGGGAACCACGCGGAGGTTGACCTGATAGGCCATATTGCTAGCAATAGGGCTGTCAAACTTTACTGCTAATAATCCCTTCCACCCCAATCTGTATTTAGTTAGGTATACGAGGTTTGTCCGGAAAGTACGTATAAAAGTTTTTTAAAAATTTTATTTTACAATTATTCAGGTAAATCAATTTTATCCCCTTCAAAGTACTCCCCCTGTGACATAATGCACTTGTGCCAACGCCGTTTCCACTGTGAGAAGGCTCCTTGAAAGTCCTCTGGTTGTAGGTTTCTCAGCTGCCCCGTCGTAGCTTTTTTTATCTCATTTATGTCCCCCAAATGCCGCCCCCGAAGTACCAATTTGGTTTTTGGGAACAAGAAGAAGTCACACGGGGCCAAATCCGGCGAATAGGGGGGTGTTCGGTCACCGTAATGGAATTTTTACTCAAAAACTCACGGACAACAAGAGAGGTGTGGGCAGGGGCATTGTCGTGGTGAAGAATCCAACGCCCCTCTCGCGCCAATTCTGGACGAACTCGTGCCACACGAGCTTTGAGGCGTCTGAGCACATCGACGTAGAATTTTCCATCAACTGTCTGGCCTGGAGGGACGAATTCTTGATGGACAATCCCCCGAACATCGAAAAAAACAATCAACATTGTCTTGACATTTGAGCGGGATTTTCTTGATTTTTTTGTTCGTGGTTCCCCGGATGTCTTCCACTCTTTGCTTTCATGGCCATTCTTGCCGAGTTTCGAGAGAAACTTGATTACGACGCGCTGCTCTTCAACGGAAGCGGGCTCCATGCCGACGGGGTTTCGTTAAGAGGTAACTTCACAGATGGCGTGACATGCCAGTTCGCACCGCACGGCGGTCAGACCAGAACTGAAGCATTGTTAGGGACATATGGAAGGGGTCCTGCGCTTACCTGGCCTCCCCACTCCTCTTTCTCGCATTCCAGAACACTTTTATACGAACTTTCCGGACAGACCTCGTATAATAGATAGATAGATACTCTTTATTGTTTCCTCCAAAAGATTACAATAGTAAACTTATTATAAATATAAATAATTACAAGAAATAATCACAATGAGAAAACAATAGGCGACCTTATCGCTAAGAGAGATCTCTTGCAGGCAATTTTAAACATACAAAATACATACACATATATATTACATGACCGCTTGAAAAAGGAGAGAAGAAAGAGTAACCTTTTCGGGTACATGTATGTAAGTTTATTCCCCTATTACATCTAAATGCCTGTACAGACTTGGATCTATGGGATTTCATTAGAATCCTTACATAATAGCGAGTGATGGTATACCCCTCAGGTAACAAGGTGTCGTCTGCGACTCAAATAAGACATCAGTTTCAAATAATTTTAGGGCCAATGACTGTAAATCGACGTCAATATCACGAATGATTGCTATCAGCCAGTGAATTTACTGGGTACAGAGGAATAACACCTGAGTCCTCAGGAATGGCAACGCTTGGTGGGTATCATGGGCGAAACAGTATACTCTGTTATGTCCATGGTACTGCCCATGTCTATAGGTGACGGTTATCACTTTCCATCAGGTGGGCCGTCAGCTTGTTTGCCATTCTATGTTGCATAAAAAAAGTAGAGCTTGGTTTCTGTTTTCTTTAAAAACCGTGCGAAGCCAGGACGCATCTTTAGTTTAACTTAAAGCATAAATAACGTTGTTATTAAATATTGTATGATAATAATCAATCGATATGTTTCTTAGTAGAAACAATATGAATTCTGTTCCTAAGAAAATATGGTTTGAATTCCTTTACTGTGTTTTTTATATTAACTGTAAAATAAAATAGTTTGTGAAAAAAAAGCAGTCTGTAAGTCAGTCGCGAGTTTGGCGTGCTTCATTGTAAGGGGAGGATTACATGGTGTTGAAGGTGAGCGAATGGAAAGTAAATAGTTAAAGATTGTGTCCCACAAAAGAAACCGACTTCACTGGTGATAAAATCGGTTATTTTGATTTAAAAATTAAACTATTGAATCATACATTTTTTGTAACATTGAATCATATATTTTTTGTATTTAATAAATAAATAAATAAATAAATGTCTCCCATTAGTGTAGGCAGAAACAATGGAACGCCAAATGCTTCGATTCAAACAGACCTCTTTCGCTTCTTCCACATTCATCAATCTACTATTGAATCACTTTTGATAAAATTTCCACGAGACCCATCTGTAAGTACATACTTTCAGATAAAGAAAGAACTTGCCAAATCGATTCAAAACTGACGGAGTTATCTATACTTATAATAAATCTGTAGAGAGGTCAATTCTGTACACGAAATATATTTACAAAATAACTATCAGGCGGTGATCAGTGATCGATACTGATGCCAGAAATGCAATCAGTAAAATTTTTGTCTGTCTGTATATTCGTTATAGAAACAAAAATTACTCGACGGATTTTGACGAAACTTGGTACAATTATTCTTCATACTCCTGGGCAGGTTATAGTATACTTTTCATCACGCTACGATCAATAGGAGCAGAGCCACTGCTCTGCTCCTATTGATGCACAAGCAAACGACTTTTGTACAAAGTCTTCCTCTGGTAAGTGTAAGTTACGTCTAATTATATCATATTTAATCGTACATTTACACATACGTACACATAAATATTCCAGTACATACAAATAAATAAATAAATATATGATTTATTTATTTACATGTGTCGCGTTTAGCGCGATTTCAAAGATGTCTCCTCCCACGAACACTCAGGTTATGGAATGAGCTCCCTGCCGAGGTTTTTCCAAGAGACTACAGCATGGGGTTCTCCAAAAGGTAAAGAGATTCCTTCAGGGTGGGCATTGCGCGTAATAATCCTGGTATTGCAGGCGTTCATAGGATACGGTGACCGCTCACCATCAGGTGGGCCATATGCTTGTTTGCCACCTCAGTGGTATAAAAAAATATGTCCATAAAGATAGAAGATAGGTGAGTAACAATTATAAGTGTTCAGCGAGTTCAGACCATCTGAACACTTACCAGAGGGAGACTTTGTACAAAAGTCGATTGCTTGGGTACCTCTGTCACATTCGTGTTTCTACCGTAAAGCAGTTGTGTTTGCATGGCTCTGTTTCGGTTTGAAGGGTGGGATATGGCGTGTATTTACAGGGTACAGAGGAATAGCACCTGAGTCCGCAGGAATGGCAGGGGGGTATCATGGGCGAAACAGTACACCCTGTTATGTCCACGGTACTGCTCATGTCTATAGGCGACGGTTACCACTTTCCATCAGGTGGGCCGTCAACTTGTTTGCCATTCTAAGTTGTATAAAAAAAAAACTTGAGCTGCTAGATACCAAGATAACATTGTCAATTCCGTTCGTAATTCAAAATGAAATAATAAGCTAATAAAATATTTTTAGATCCCAAACCGTCGTGTCTAGG